AAAACAAGGGAAGAGGCAATTAATCTATAAACAACCAATATTACGGTATGTACTTTCCCCAGAAATTAGTAGTTTTGAGTTCAGTATGGAAAAAAATGTCTGATTGTAGCTGTTTTCAGACTTCCCTGTGACATACAGTTATACCTAAGTACTTTTTAATGTCCGGACTACTGTCTATCAGCCTGTTTCCAACTTGGTGAGCTTCAATTGCTGAATTACAACTCCATAATTTAATAACAAATGTGACTATTTGCTAACTGGAATTGATGGGAATAGCAGTGCAACACAATTGCAACCTACTAAGACAAAGTTAATGTAGAGTGTAGAAAGTCTAATTTCTAACGTCTATATTGATGTTAGAGGGTATTGGATAGTACTGGTAGCAATGAATTTTACAGCCAAAGTCCACTTATGGTTGTCTCATTCATTGGATGGGCACAAGTTGTAGGTAGAGTCATTGGAACAAAAGGGAACAATAAATATTGCAAGTACATGACTTTGCTGTGCTTAGTGGAAAAAAGGTCTTATGAAGAAAGTCAGACCAAAACATTTTATTACTTGATATTTAAAAAAACTGTTAAGGAATTCGCAGAGCAACCCTTGAGTAGCAAGGGTGTGCATATGAAAGTGATTGAGAGTAGTTATGAATAAAACACAGCCAACACACAGATACACTGAGTTGTGTTTACTTTTACGAAAATAGTAAGGCACAGTCCAATAAACAGTCCAGGTCATACACATATAAAGCAGTAGATAGTAAAACAATAGTCCAGGGATAATCCAATAACAAAGTCTTCTTACCAGTCGTCGTAGTCATACACATTAACAGTTGCAAACAGTAGCAAACACAGCAAAGAGCAGTAACGAGCAGTAAAGAGAACCAAAGAGAAACAAACCAGGTTTCTAGCTCCCTTTTAAGGACATTGGCTACAGTACTAACAGATCAGGACACAGTATGATGCAATACAGCAGTCTTAAAGCTATATTGATGGTTTATATATTGCCAACCCAACAAGTTAGGTAAAATCATTTCCTAACAAAAACCAAAGTTATATTTTCATTATTATTATGGTTGGTTGCACAGATAGATGTTTAAACTAGATTTGGCATTTTTGTTCACCTATTGAGACCTTCCCAAAGATCTAGGATAGGCAGATTTTGTTGCTTAATAATATTATAAGGTATAATCACATCATGAAAGCTGTTACAAGTAAAGCTGCCTTTTGGAATTGGCTGGTGATGATATTGTCCTGTTATTATTGGTACTACCTTTGCTTTCTTTTGCCATAGTCATTGTGCTCCTATTTGCAGATCTTTAATTTTTTTTTATTTTCACCAGTCCTTTGTCTGCTATTCTCCAAGTATTGCAATATCCATTATAGATTTATTTTTGTCTTTCTTATCAAAAATTGTTAAATCTGGGCTATTGTGTGGCAGATGCTTATATGTTTGAATTCTAAAGTCCCAGAGCACATTAGCTTCTTTATTTTGTTTATTACTTTTTCTGTTTTGGGGTCCCCCAGTTCTAGCTTGCAGGCAAATAGAATTTATTGCAGATATTTTGGTGTAGCATTATTGCCACTTTGTCATGTTGTTGTCTGTACAATCTTCTTGCAGCAGGTAACTAGATGATCCACTCCAGCTTCATTCATTGCTCTTCAGATTTTTTTTTCCCCTTCAACTGTCTGGTGTACTTGCAACTTAACAGTCACTTATGCTCCTTGATTAGTAGACTCTATCAACACTGAAGATGCCTGGTTTTCCCTGAGCTTGGTTGTGGGTTTTGCTCTCAATTTATATTCTCTTGGCTGGCTATCAGTGTTGGTGGGAGTGGTCTTTGAGGTTCTTTGGTTGGGCTATTTATCATTAGCCTGTTTGGCAGTTCCTTGATTGGAATAGTGTTTATTTCTTGATTGTTAGTCTGATGTTAATCTTGGTGTTGGTGGATGCTTATCTGGTGTTGATTGCTAGTGGAGAGTTTTGGTCTTTTTGTTCCCTTTTTGGCTTGTTGATTCTATCTTTTGCACAGTTTGTAGATATTATTTATGTCTATGTGTCTATTGATGACCAATATGTAAGAGTGGCAGCCTTCCACTAATATCTTTTCCAAAGCTTTCATGGCACTGTATCAAGTGCTAGTCTATGGCTTAATGTCTATAGAGATTCTCAGTCATCCGGGTCATGGTTGTCCCAAAAGTGCTTTTTCAAGAGGCAAGTGGACTTTCTGGTTTTTCTGTGAAGATGTTTTGCTTCTCTTCCAACAAGCTTCTTCAGCTCTGTTTTGAAAAGGCACCTTTAGAATAGTCTGTGGCTTATTTCTTTACCACTTGTTCCTTTAATGCTTCCTAATATGATTTGATTGCTTATTTGTTCCCTATGACTATCATTAAGTGTTGTACCTTATGATTCCTGACGAATGTATCTTTTCTTTTATGTACACTGAGAGCATATGCACCAATTGGCCAATAAAGAATTCTATTCTATTCTATTCTATTCTATTCTATTCTATTCTATTCTATTCTATTCTATTCTATTCTATTCTATTCTAGTCTAGTCTAGTCTAGTCTAGTCTAGTCTAGTCTAGTCTAGTCTAGTCTAGTCTAGTGTTGATGATTGATTCCAAAAGGAAAAAGCTATCCACCACTTTGATATATTCATGGGTAATTCTAAGGCTGATTGTTCTATTGTTCTTCATCTTTCACTGTGATTATTTATTTATATTTCATATTTCTGAACCACCTGTCTATTCCAAGACCGATTAGTTTGGTCTTAAATGTAATTCTTTTTTTTTTTTACTGTGCTCCTTGACTTTTATTACTAGAGCTTGCAGGACATTTGCATTTTTGCTATCAAGATAGTGCCACCAGTGTAGCTTAAGTTTCTTTTCCCAATTTTAAAGCCACACTCTCTACTTCCCATCTAGCTTCCTTTAATATATATTCAGCATATAGGATAAGTAAATGAGGGAAGAATATGCAGCCTTGTCAACCTGGAGGCAGTCTGTTTTGGCACATTCTGTCCTGACCTGTATGGAAAAGGTGTATAATATTAAAGGCAAACAAAATAATTTTGGTATCTAAGACAGAAAATCCCATAAACTGGGGTGCCCAATTCCCAGGCCATGGACCACTACTGGGCTACAGTCTGTTGGGAACCAGACTGCTGAAGTGGTGGGTGAGCGCACAAAGCTTCATTTGCACATGCACGGGATTTAGGTTGCACACGCAAAACCATTCCCCCTACCCAGGTGTGAAATGTAAAATGTGTTACTACCGGTTCTGAGGGTGTGGCTTGGTGGGGAGGGGGTAATGTGACTGGGTGGGCATGGCCAACTTTTTTTTTTTAACTTTTCAAAGCATTTTTTCTAATGCTTTGAAAAGCCTCTGGTGATCAGGCAACTCAGCTGGGATCGTCAGAGAGGCTTTTTAAAAAATGCCTCTCTGCCGATCAGGCAACTCAGCTGGGATCATCAGAGACTTTTCAAAGCATTTTTTTTACAGAAAAAATGCTTTGAAAAGCGTCTGAGGATTCCAGATGAGCCGCGCGATCATCAGAGGCTTTTTTTTTACTTTTAAAAGCATTTTTTCGTCGGAAGAGGTTGTAGAAAAAATGCTTTTAAAAGTAAAGAAAAAAAAGCCTCTGATGATCATGCGACTCAGCTGAGCATGGTGGGGGGGGCACGCAGGGATTTTTGCTATGGGTTCTCCGAACCACCCGCCATTGCTACCGGATTGGGTGATCCGGTCCGAACCAGGAGCATTTCACCCCTGCCCACTGAAACTGCCAAAACCACTGGCAGACTGCTGATGGTCTGTGGACTCCTGCCATAACCATTTCCCTTCAGTAAAAATGGAATAATATTCTAAATAATAACATAATTATGTTTTTTTATACTTGTAGTGCTAAATGTTGCTCAGTGATAATTTCTACTAGAAGTATTTTACTCTAATGCTCAGACTGTTATCTTGAATTGTTGTTCACGGCCATTCTCATATATAACATTAACCAGATTTTTCTTTCAAGAAAAACAACAGTATTTTACGTATATTTATACTGGACAAGTTGTACTCTTTAAGTGTAAATTAATAAAAACAATAAACAAGTTACATGTAAATAAGCAGAATGTTACAATAATAACAATAACTTTTAGGTCAAGTTATTAGATATCTGAAGTTTGAAATGTTCAAATACCTTTTACCAAATAACATGGTAAACAAAGCAAAGATGGGCAAAGAAATACAAAAAATGATAAAATATTTTAACATGACGTTCCTGACTCTAGGGGGTGGTGCTCATCTCTGTTTCAAAGCCGAAGAGCCAGCGCTGTCTGAAGACGTCTCCGTGGTCATGTGGCCGGCATGATTAAACGCCAAAGGCGTATGGAACACTGTTACCTTCCCACCAAAGGTGGTCCCTATTTTTCTACTTGTATTTTTTACGTGCTTTCAAACTGCTAGGTTGGCAGAAGCTGGGACAAGTAACAGGAGCTCACCCTGTTACTCGGCACTAGGAATTCAAACCGCTGAACTGCTGACCTTTCAATCTACAAGCTCAACATCTTAGCCACTAAGCCACCGCTAATGGAAAATACACCTAGTTAAACTCTTCTTCTGTTCATGTAATAAATTCATATTAGAGATTTTTAAAATAATTTTTGTTGTTATTGCCGAATTATCATGATGATCTGGTAAGCATCCTGACTGAATTTGCCCATTAGACCAATTCTTGTTCTGTTCATGTAGTAAGTTCAGACAAGGTTTGTTTTTTTTTTTTTAAAAAAAATATTTTTGTTGTTATTGTTGAATCTATCATCATGATCTGGTGAACATCCTGGGTGAATTTGCGCATTGGGCAAGCCAGTTCCCATCGATTATTAGGGTTACGAGGGAAACAATCAGCCCTGATTATGGAGCTCTTAGTAGAAGCCAAGTTATTTTAGGACCCAGCAGCATCCCTTACACACTGCATCGCTATTAAGTGTAGAACTGCTGGCCGGGTCATCCCCGTCGCTTGCTCCTTCTGTTGGAGCCCTCTGCGCCTGGCTTCCGAAGCGGTTGCAGGCACAGGAAAGCCTCTTTCCTCCCCATCCTGAACCAGCAGCTTTCTTTTGCGGAGGGGCGCTCGCGGCGGTATCGCTGGCAGCGAAATCTCCCCGGCCCAGTTTAGGGCCGCCGGCTGAATCTGGCATGCGCCTGCGCGGGCGCGCCACTGCCGAGGCTAAAGAGGGACTTGGGTAGCTCCGGCTTAGGTCTTTCCCTTACTTTGACGCGCCAAAGCCTCCTTCGCCTCGCCTTCTCCCGCCGTTATCTTAGCGCGGTGCAGCAGCCTCGGCCGAGACTCCGGCCCTAATTCGGGTCCTCCCTCGGGGGCGGGGCCACGGAAAGACCGCGGCGTCCCCACCTCCTTTCTCGGTAGCTCCAAGGAGAGAACGGGATTACTGCACGGGGACGCCGCCAGCCGCATCTTCTCCGCTTGGGGCTTAAAACTGGATGGAAGCCACCCGGGGGGTTTGGCGGGGAACCTCAGCAGCTAATAACGGGAATCCCTCAGCGGATGCTGCCGCCCGCTTTCAGTTCTTGCGGCTGCCCGCGGGCTGCGAGATGCTGAGCTGCGGCTCCAAGAAAGCGCTCGGGGGCCCCGGTTCGGTGCTTGCGCGCGCGTGAGGGGAGAAGACGACGACGACGACTTGCCGTCTCCTGATGGACACGGAGTCCCGGGCACAGCTCGCTGCTGCTGCTGCATCTTCGGGGCTGAAGGGTCGTGTGAACGCCGAGAGCCGCAGAGGGACCCAACGCTGCTGCCTTCGTATGGGTGGAATGCTGGGCGGGCTACCCATTCCGGGTCGTCTCATTGGGCAGGGGGCTTAAGAGGTGGCTTTTAGGGTTTTTTTTTTTTTTTTAGTATCATTATTCTTATCCCGAGTTTCAGCCGAGGGGTGTGTGTGAGAGAGAGTGAGTGTGAGTGTGTGTGTGTGTGTGTGTGGTACAGGCGACCACAAGCCCGTCCATGGCCAACCCGCGGCGGTGCATTGAGCTGGAGCATTTCGAGGAGCGAGACAAAAGGCAGCAGCGCTCGGGCTCCCGCCGGGGAGGGGGCAGCTCCACTTGTAGCAGCAGCTCGGGGCCCAAAGGCAACGGGCTCATCCCCAGCCCCGCGCACAGCGCCCACTGCAGCTTCTACCGCACGCGCACCCTCCAGGCCCTCAGCTCGGAGAAGAAAGCCAAAAAGGCGCGCTTCTACCGCAACGGGGACAAGTACTTCAAGGGCTTGGTCTATCCCATTTCCAGCGACCGTTTCCGCTCCTTCGACGCCCTCCTGGTCGAGCTCACCAGGTCTCTGTCTGACAATGTCAACCTGCCTCAGGGCGTCCGGGCCATCTATACCGTCGATGGCAGCCGAAAGCTCACCAGCCTCGAAGAACTGGTGGATGGTAAGGAAAGCCTACGCCTTGTATTAGTTTGGCTGTATTGCGGTCTTCTCCGGACATAAGCGCCGAGCTGTGAGGAAGCGGCTCCGGGGTGGGCGTGTTTATAGTAGTGTAGCCTAAGCGGCTATCAAGGGCGTTTTCACCAGTTGGATTTCGCACAGATCTGTCCATATTACCCACAATTCTTAAATGATGTCACCCTGTTTCAGCTGATTCGCATTGCTTAGTTAAAGCAGACTATTCTAACGGGGAACAACATCCCTGCGTATGTCTGGACGCTGCCTCGGTTTCCGATGAAGAAAATGTGCGCTATTTTATTGGGCAGGGGAAATCTTTGAAGCTCGAAATGTGGATATTAGCAGGCTGCTGTCATTGGGCTGTTCCAAAAATGTAGATTGGTTTTTGTTTAAAACACGATCTGGCGTTCCCATCTGCCTATAAATAGCTTGAGACAGGATTAAAAAGTACCCTGAGTGATATTTGCAAAAAAAAAGAGAGAGAGAGAGAGAGAGAGAGAGAATGTTGTGGTAAAAAAATATTGATTAGACAAATGTTTAGCTGTTTCAAACCCTTGATTGTTCAATACTGTGGCACCTGGCCTATAGAATTAACATTTGCAGGTTGAAAAATCAAATATTAAAACTGTGGGATTAATTCTAAAATGGATTACTTTGAATTTGTAAATTTATTTCTACTGGACCAGCTAAAACAGCTTCAAACTGTCTGAGATTGCTTATTATACAGAGAAATGATAATTGACTATATAACATCTAATGCATAAAACTGAAAGTTTCTGGGTTTATTTTCATATCCCTGTTTTATGGTTGAAAAAAATGACGATTATCAGGTGCTATTTTAAAGATTGAAATGATTCATCTTTCCAGGTATCTTCCATGGACAAGTATAATCAAAATAACTTAGTTTTCTAGAACTTTCTGTTTACCTGTTACTTCAGCTCATTCAGTGTCCATAATACTTCATACAGATTATATTAATGATTAGCTTTACCTACCTGTGCTTTTAAAATATCAATTTGTTATCCATACATACCTGTTACAATAAGCATGCATTTAATGAATTTTTAGATTTTCCCCTTTTTATCAGTATATATGTTTTTGTTGATTGCATGGCATGAATCTATTCTAGAATATTGAAGGATTTGCACCTTTTCCTTAATGCACAGCAGGGGTTCTCAACCTTTTCTTCATTACAGACCCCCTTCAAATACCTTTTCTGACCATGGCCACAGATCCCCAAGACTTAACTCAAGATTTAAATCATAACATTCTTTTAAGTCTTCATGGACCCCCTGTGACAACATCACTCACGCCCCCCCCTCAGGGGTCAGCAGACCACAGGTTGAGAACCACTGGTGTACAAGATTTATTGGCTGATAACTAATTATTTCATGTACACAATACTTCAATGCAAAGTGTGAAGTGCTATCACATTCAGGGATCATGTTGTCAAACTCCAGTTAGAATTGTTTATTCAAATGAGCAAGTGTCTTCTTGTCTAATTCCCGTTCCCAAAGATATTTGTGTAAGGCCACCTGACTATGTGATCTACTTCAGTGATTCAAATGAATGGAAAACATTATCCCTGTAATTCTATTACCTCCTGGGGAAATGCTAAACTTTAGCATTGAAGATAACTAAGTAGCTAGTATGAGTAAATATGGATGAGATTGTATTTGTAAATTGATAGGAATAACACAATCTGATTTTTCTTAATAAAAAAAACCTATGTGTATTCAATTCCTGTATTCCAGTTTCAATCTGAGACACCATTTTGCAAACATTTAATACCAATGTAGATATATATAATTCTAGAACTCTGAGAAAACAAATTTAAAAATCAAGATCAATCAATTAAAACTAAATGAATATCAATTAAGGTATATTTAGGTAGAGAATGCAGAACTAATCTGCAAGAATTGAGTAGATTTTTATAATCTTAAATGTTATTTTGTATTTACATTTTTTAAAAAAAATCTGTATGAAAATGTATAATCCTCAGTAAAAGATGATTGATGTCTATTTAGGTGTGTTTAAATAAATAATCTGGAGCCTTAATTCAATTCCTTCAGGCTATAAAGTTGTACATTTCCTGCTAGGTGTCTGCAGGAAATACCCTTCTGTCCACTGATATTGTTTTCCCACTTCTACTTTATAAATACTTTATAAATTACTTTACTGTACTGTACTGTACAGTTGCAGTGTATTATCTAGATATTGCATATTAAGTGGTGTTAACAACTAATACCTTTGTGTAGCCAAAGCTTGTGGTTTCACATGACACTAGCAAGATAAAAGTAAATTAACAATGATGGCAGCTTTTCCACATCTAATAGTATAATAATCTTATACAGGTTCATAATTATATTTATCAATGTTTACCAATTTTGGAGGACAAGGAGTGCAGCTGATAGATTGATTATGCTTACATACATCATCTTCATAATCAAACTGAAATCAACTACTCTATTTTACTCTAACTACTCTATTTTGATCTCAGCCAAAACATTGAGAAGAGATACTCTCTTTTAAAACTTGCACAATTGTTTCCAAATGCTTCCTTTTTCAAATGTAAGGAAATGATTTAATCATTATTATCGCTAAGATTGAAAACTACAGGTAATCTTCAATTTATGATCAAATTGATACCAGAATTTTGATTGCAAGCCGTTATGATTGTAAGTCAAGTTATCATGTGATCAAACTCCATTTTACCACTGTTTTTATGATGGATGTTAAATCACTGCACCTGTTAGTGAATCACATGATTGTAAGTCTAAAACTACCTTTTCAATGAATGTTTTGGCTGGAAAAATGTCGCAAAATGTGATCATGTGACTAAAAGATGCTACAGCTGCTCGTATATGTGAACTGGTTACCAAGTGCCCAAAATGGCAGTCACACCTTTGAAGCTAAGTTATAAGTAACTTTTTTCAAGTCCATTATAACTTCAAACATTCATTAAGTGACTTGTCATAAGTGGAGAACTACTCATATGGTCAAAAAGATTACTTGTTTGGTCAAAGAGACTCCTGAGAACTACAAAAGGGGATTCGCAGATTGTCAATTCTTGTTTTAGAATACTGCAGATGGAAATGTATTTGTTAAAAGGAAAACTGCTATGATTTATCCTTGTGTCATAAGATATAATATTACATAGCTTCCTGAGTAGAAAATTTGAACAGTGGGTATATACAAAGGTATTTATGATAGCGGTAGAGTACAATTGTTGAACACAACTTCCAACTGATATTTGAAAATGATCACATAACAGAAAAACATTGGATTTGAGTGTTTTACCTGTCATGATTCATTAGTGCTTTAACTGCACCAGTGAAACATTAGCAGCAACATCAACAAGATATATATTGTTCAAGAAGGCTCAATACCAGTGGTGGGATTCAGCCAGTTCGCACCACTTCGGGAGAACCGGTTGTTAACTTTCTGAGCAGTTTGGTGAACTGGTTGTTGGAAGAAATTAGGGCAGAGATTTGTTGTTAAATCTCTGTTTAACAACAGAGATCTCTGTTTAAAATCTCTGTTAATCTCTCGGTTGTTAAATTACTTGAATCCCACCACTGCCCAATACATTATATAGAAAATTAAATATGCTCCTCTTTAAGGAGGAATATAACCATGAAGAAGAGGTGCGATGGCTCAGCAGTTTAAGGTGCTGAGCTTATCAGTTGCTCAGCTGCATGATGGGATGAGTTCCCATTCCTTGCACCAGCTCCTGTCCACCTAGCAGTTTGAAAGCATGCAAATGCAAGTAGATAAATAGGTACCACTTCGGTGGGAAGATAACAGTGTTCCCTGTGCCTCGGCGTATAATCATGCTGGCCCATGACCATGGAAATGTCTTCAGACAATGTTGATTTCCTCAGCTAAAAAACGGAGATGAGCACCACTCATTAGAGTCAGACTCAACTGGACAGTGGAAACCTTTACCTTTATAACTATGAAGAGCTGTTTATCTGTTTAAAAAAGCTTGCAAAATTTGGTTCAACCCTGTCACGTCTAGCTAAGGCCAGAGAACTGCTTTCTGAAAATCTCTGAACATTGTTATACCTGTTTTTACTGGGCTAGATGGATTAGTGGACCAATTTCAGAGAACATATAAGTTTTAAGAATTCTCTAATTGGTGTTTTCTCAGAATTATTGCTTAGCAGTTGTAAGGGCATGCTATAAAATTAAACTAATTCTAGCCCACATTGTTGTAGTCTTGGAAATCAATCAAAAGAGGTAGGTTGGAAACAATAACTGTTGTTTTAAAAAGTTACTGTTAATTTTAAAAAAGTTAATTGCTACATTAGTTGGTCATGAACTCTTAAACATTGTAGCAACTTAAAGACTAGCAGCCTTATTATGATGTAAAGTATCTGAATTATGAGTTACAAATGTATCTGTGATTGAGAGAGAAATGCAAGACAGGTATCATATGATCATTTAGAAAACTGATAATATATATGCAGTGATGAACTGAGATACTGTATATATGTATGTGTGTGTGTGCATAATACACACATACACACACCCTGCATACATGATTATAAAAATAAGTCCTTTGTCATCAGCCATTTTTACAGTGGAATCTTGTTTCATAGTTACTTATTTCTTTCATAATGAAAACTTGCCCTTGCTGTGCCCTTGTTCAAAAATGGGTATTTTAAAGTTAACGACAGACCCTCTAGCTCAGTGATGGCTAACCTTTTCTGGACTGAGTGCCCAAAGCGCGTGCGCCCAAACCCCCCCAATGCAATGCGTGTGTGCGCAACCCCTCCCACACATGCCCCCTCCCGCATGCATGCATGGGCCCCTGCACATGCCCCACCCCCAGCGCATGCCTCCCCCCACACACACACCCCACGCATGCGCGGCAGAGACCTGAAGACCAGCTGGCAGGCAGGAGGGGTGTGCATATGTACGGCAGAGCTGAACTGGGGTGACGGCTCGTGTGCCCACAGAGAGCGCGCTGCATGCCACCTC